AGAGACTGGACTTAGATGGTTCCTAGAGTTTCATAGAACTTTTTGGGTAGTTCTGAAGCTGTGAAATTGCCCCCCTCACCTTTCTCTGACCAGTCCACTTATTCTCTCTTTCATCTGCTTTCCAATAAAATCAACCACTGCTAGAATACCTTTTCCTAGCCCAGTAATGGTAAACCTGGAAAAAGAAATGCACAGATGAGTTTGATTAGATTCACAGAATATATAGTGAACTAGGGCCTCTGCTTGCAGAAAAGAAAGCCATTAGCAGTGTGGATCTGCAAAGAGGGACAGGAAAATATGACATGATCATAGATGGTAGTCTGCCCTTCCTTACTCATGTCTCCACCACTAGGATAAATGGGAAAAGAAGAACACAGAGAGGAAGTCAGTGGAGCTCTTTCAAGATGTCAGCTTGATGACGCTAGACAGCATCATGAAATGTGCCTTCAGTTATAATACCAACTGTCAGACTCAGAGGTCAGTGCCTGAACTTTCAAATTCTGGGAAAACAAGTGCTCCTGTTTCCCCGCTCATGTTGCTAACACCAGCTTTAATCTTGGTCACCTTACAGCAACTCAGACTATTATATCAGAGCTGTTTATGACCTGAGCTACCTCGTGAGCAAGAGAGTCCAGACTTTTTCTTACAAGGATGTCTTCTATGACTTGACTCGCAAAGGCCGTGACTTTCGTGATGCCTGCAAGCTGGCCCATACCCACACAGGTATTTCTCCCCCTTCCTCCCCAGCCCTGTCTCCCAGCTGAGCCTCTCCCCTACTTGTATCTGGAGCAGCTCAGACGGGGGGTTGCAGTATGCACTGTCCAGAGGGTTACACATTAAACAGAGTCCAAGCTGCTGACCAAGCGGACAAGTACATGAGGTCTCTGGAGGGGCAGGATGCATCTAACTGATCATTCTTCTATGCAGAGAAGGTAATAAAAGAAAGAAAGATGTTGCTTTCCAGTGAGAAGGAGCTTGACAAGATCCAGAAGAAGAAACACCTGGATTTTCTGGACATTCTTCTTTGTACCAAGGTGAATGTTTGAAATAATCATATCAAATGCCAAAGAACATACCTGTGTGGCACTGAGGATGCATCAGCTGGGAGCTCAGGACCCCTCGCTGGAGTTGCTGGCAACAGTTTCTGCACTCCAGATTTCCTAGCTCAGGGAAAGGTGGATTGAAAGGGAAGGAAATACAAATGTATGAGATGCAGTGATTGAACATAAATAGCTTGGACAGACTTTTGTCTTCCTTGTTAATTTTCACTGAGCTCATTAATAATTTGAGTGAGCTGTCAGATACCAGAGAAGAATGAGATCTTTGGAAAGGTTACACGGAGGCCACCTTGGCTGTAGTCCTCTTAAGAGGTTTTGTTTCTTACCTTCTGTAGTTTTACCTTCACAGACACCTTCAGATACTCTGGACAGAAGCTGCCACTTGGTGTTCAGGAAGGAGATACACCCTGTGCTCATTCTGTCTTTCTGGAGCCACTGCTTTCCTTTGTGTCTCAACCCAAAACAGAAGTTGTCCAAACCAAACTACTGAAAAACCTAACAGCAACCCTTGGTAGGGGATCAAATAGGGTGTCACTCTGTAGCTCTGTTGACTGCAGAGTAAGCAATCAGTGGGTCTGACTGTTCTCACGTGTATTGGATATTTCCTGATGTACAGGGACATACAAGAGACACTAAATAGGTCCCTTCTTCATCAGCATCTGGGGTTATTTTTATACCCAAAGGAGCAAGTCCAATCAATGTGCACTTGAGAATGATATACTCTCCTCTTTGTTAGGATGCAAATGGAGTTGGGCTATCCGATGAGGACCTGCGTGCTGAGGTGGACACGTTCATGTTTGCGGGTCACGATACCACAGCCAGCGGGATCTCATGGCTCTTGTACTGCCTGTCATTATATCCAAAGTACCAGCAACAGTGCAGGGAGGAGATCCAGGGGATCTTGGGAGACCGAGATACCATTGAGTGGTGAGCTAGGACTTATTATTCCTTTACTTTGAACTCTTTTCACTCATCCTGAGAAGAAAACTTCATCCATCTTATACTGCATTTGCACTGGGGCATTCTGCTTTTCACGTATCAATGCTGGCAGCAATGGGAGGTCTAGGAGAAGGAGAAACCCCAACAGGATAGGGGAGACACAGGGGTCCAGCCCACCCAGTCCCCATTGCTGGGGTCCTCATTGCTGCCACTCAAACACAGCCTGACCCCCTGGTTTGCTTTCAGGGACGACCTTGGGAAGATGACTTACACCACAATGTGCATCAAAGAGAGTTTGCGCCTGTTCCCACCAGTTCCTTCCGTGTCCCGATACCTCTCTAAATCTGTCACATTTTCTGATGGACGCAGCTTGCCAGCAGGTCTGTTGAGTTTGTTCGTCCTTCACACTTCTGTCTGTGACAGGTGGGGCATCCTCACTAGAGCTGCTGTGTGGAGGGGCTGGTGGGGCTTCTAGCCTCTCTTCTCTCTCCAAAGGGCTGTACAGGGCCACCACAGCTCACCATCACAGCTCTTCCAGAAGGGTGGCTGAAGAGAGTCCAAGGACATGATCCAGGACACTGGGGTGTTCACAGAGCTCAAAGGGGACTTGCCGAGTGTTGACCCTGGCCAAGACTAAAAGTTCATCCACTGGTACCAAAATGGGGCCCAGCTCTGAGGATTTCAGGACGTGACCTGCCTGGACAGGGTGGGCGTCATCCCTGACAGATCTCCCGCAACAGCCTCTGCAGAGCCCAGGGAGGGACAGCATTCCACAAAAACACCTCTCCTCGGTCTTCACTCTGAGATGTCACCAGCTTTTTTCTCACTTTTCTTTTCCAGGCTGCCAGGTCGGACTGAATATATTTGCTATTCACAGGAATCGGGATGTGTGGGAAGACCCTGAGGTATTTTACCTTTATAAGGAGAAGAGAAAGATAATCTCTGAGCCCAGACATCCACTCCCCTTCAACAAGGCAGCCTGTGCCTCCCTGCCATGGTGGTTTTTTCCCCTCTAATTCCAACAGTCCATCTCTAAATGCAAAGTTCAATGAAGTTACCAAACACCCCAAAGGCTTTGAACATGACAAAGTGCTGGGAAAGGGTGTTGAATCTTCTTGCATGGTGACACAGAGATACTCAGACTGCTTTCAGCTGCCCTGGGTAGACTTAGGTCCCAGAGTGGTATGAGAAGTCCCAAGCCCTCCAAGAACTGTGTGATTCAAAGCTGATGTCTTAGAGACTTCAAGGAAATAAATAGCCAGGAAACCTGAAAGAGGGTCCACAGCTGCCTCTCTCCAGTGGCTCTCTGGAGAGGCAGGATCAGGCACCTCTGGACAAGAGGGAATCTGACTTGATCATTGCTGCCATGGATGAGAAAATCCCTGCAAGCATCTTGGGCACTGTAGTGGGTAATCTGGATAGTTCCAGGGGGAAGATCTGCATGGCCATCAGTGCTGTCTTCTCATCGACCTGGCTGGCTTTGCAGAGGGATGAATGTCAGCTGCAGCTCCTCTGGGGCAGCGGAGGCCACATCCAGCCCTACCTTGGGGACTAGGGGAGAAGCTGGTGCTGTTCATCTCAGAACCAACACTGACCAAACGGCCTCTGTTGCTCCCACAGTTGTATGATCCCCTGAGGTTTTCTCCGGAGAACTCAGCACAGAGGCACTCCCACGCTTTCCTGCCTTTCTCTGCTGGATCCAGGTGGGAGATCCTTCATCCCTCTCCTTCCCCACAGGCTGCCTTGCATGGGAGACCTAGCTCAGAGCCGAGCTCCTGAAGCTAATCCTCCCTCAGTGCCCATGAGCCAAGTTGGCTTGGGCAACTCAAGAAGGCTTTCCATAAAGGTTCTCCACCATGCTACATCAGCTCCAGAGCATTTCCCGCACCCCAAGCTCTGTGGTTGCTGTAGAGTTTCACACACTTTTCTTGTGGATTTGTGGAGATATTTACACTTTCTGTTGCCTGCGTTGAGAACGTGGGCTCCCTCGTTTAGGGGTAAACACCCAGTGCACCTCAAAGCCAAGCTGGGCCCAAGTCTCTGTGGTTCCCATGCTGTATCAATGGATGGATGCAGGATACTGAGATCTCAGTAACTTGCAAGAGGAGATATTCCATACAGAGTCAAAAATAACCTTTCTGATGTGTCTGGATTTTGAGCTGAATCCATACAGCACTCTCTAGTGAAGAAATCCCCAGTTCTCTCAATTTCATATTTTTTCAATGCTTATTAACAAACAACAGCAATACCCCACCACAGAGCTGGGTCCATTTTGGTGTGGCATGAGGGGATTCCTAGATAAGCTATGGCATCATCCTTGCAGCAACTGGAGCTTGCACCCCCGGCACCCCAAAGGTGCTGCTTCAAGTAGCTTGCACATGGGCTGAGCACAGCTATGGGGTGGTCAGGGGTGAAGGCTGCAGCAGGAGCATTTGTCACCCTCTCCTCAGGAACTGCATCGGGCAACAGTTTGCCATGAACGAGATGAAGGTGGCTCTTGCCCTGACTCTGCTCCGCTTCGAGCTCTGCCCCGACCCATCCAAGCCTCCCACACTGATACCGCAGATCATCCTCAGGTCCAGTAACGGGATCCACCTGCATTTGAAGAAGATTCACTGACCCTGTGGGGTACCACAGTGGAGGGCAAGCACTTTCCCAAGGACCACCCTCCACCCAGAAGTTTAAGAGAGGGACACAAAACAGACCCACCCTGCCCACCTCTGACCTCTCCCAGATTAACCTCCTTCCCTGCTGCTGGCCAGGGGGGCACGCTGAGCCCACTCGCACACACTCTGAAGCCAGCAGGTCCAGGTCCCATCCTTGCATGGGGAGCAGCACTGCCAAGCGCGTTTTGCAGCATGGCTGTGGCTCAGCCTTCATCTCTGCAGGCATCCTCCATGTCCACCTCCAACCTGCCCTTGCACACTGCCCAGCAGGACTTCTGTCACCTGCCTGTGTATCTGCAGCATTGCCAGTTCCCTGCTCAGGCACAGCAGTGAACAACGCCAGTATGGTTTGCATGGGTGTCTGAAGCCTGGACACTGCCTGAGCATGACGTCCCTCCCCTGCCTCCAGCCTGGGTGGGCCGTGGCAGGAGAGCTCCTCCCTGCAGCCACACTGCATCCCCACACACCACCCTCCAAATTACCCCCCCTAATCCGTTCTGGGGCTGGCACTGTGCCTGCCATTATGGAGATGAAGACCAGCGAGTTTTTCTGCCCCAGCACTGAACTTCCTTGAGCTGAGGGTGCTCAGGAGCCAATGCAGAGATGTGTCACCAGCTAACCTGGAGAAAGCATTCACCATGCTGAAAACCACATGTAATCAGCCTTGTCCTCCTCTCTGAAATGAGAATAAAGCCTTGTGGAGATGCTCCCCAAGCGTGACTTTGGCTTCCTTTGCTTTTGGGGGACCAGGAGGGTACAGAATGAGTCCCAGCAGCCCAGAGCCAAGGCTGTGCCCAAGGGTGCAGCCCTGCAAGCATTTTCTCAAGCCACAAGGGCTCTTTCAACGGGTTTGCCCCTGGCTGAGCCTGAGGAGCCTGTTTCTGTCCCTCCCATGCTGTGGGTCACCAAGCCCTCAACTGTGCCTCTGGGAGCTTCCGTGGTAATAAAACAACTGAAACGATCTGGGGTCAAACAAAGCAAAACAGAAATCACCACACACACCCCTCAAATGCTGGTGGCAAGAACAAAATCAGCTTGCAAAAATAAGTCCCAAGTGGGAGCACAAGCCCATTTCAAGCCCTTTTCTGCAGAGGCTGAGAACTGACTGCTCAGTATTTGAATGAGATGCCCAAGGGGTGCAGGTGGGTGCTGGCCTTGGGTCTGGGCTTGTTTTGGGGGTGCAGGGACCCACTGCTTGCCCTTGCCCTAACACCAGCCATAGGTGAGCTCCCAGGCGAAGGGGGACCTGCTGGGTGATCTGCAGGACCGGGGTGAGAAATGGATCACTAGGTGGCAGTGGGAGACCCAGAAAAAACCAAAGTCCTCCCTGGTCCCTTGCAAAATCCCCTGGGCTTGGCAGCAAGCATGGCCAGGCCCAGAAGGACAGCTGATGGGCCCCATCCCTGGGGGCACTCCTGTCCCCATCCCCATGCCCACCCTCAGCTGTGCTGGGCAGCAAAGCAGGCACTGTTCCATTGCGGTCCCAGCGCGATGGCGGTATTACCCAAGGCACAGGGAAAGCTTGTCACTGAAAGTGCCTGGGCACTCAACAGGCATCAGAGGAAACTCAGGCATGGAGGGCTGCACATGTGCCATGCCACAATGAGAGACAAGGCTGTTTGTCCTGCTTTCACCCATGGCAATAGCATCACCAACATCACTGCAGGCATTAACACAGCCAAACCATGTCCATCTGTCTGGGCAGCTCAGCTCTGCTGATGGCCAGACCAGGACAGCCAAATCTGAGCATCTCCACATGCAAATAAACCCCTGCAATCCCCTGCTCCCTGTCTCTACTGCCTGCTGCATCTTCAGTTTGAGAAATTAAACTCCTCTAGGGCGGGATCCAGACCTTTGTTTTGGCTGTCTCAGTACCTAACGGGACAGGGATGCTGTGAATAACCAGCAATGTGCAGCTTATATTTATTTTGCAAGGCAGCTGGAGACTGACTTCCTCTTGTCCCCACTCCCTCCCCTTCTCACCCCAGGAAGAGACTGGGTGCAGGTTGTGTAGGTACTGATGCCACCACCCTTGCACCGCTGGTGTACTCAGGCTGGTCTCAAAGGTCAGACTCCAGCTCTCCTCCTCCCCAGCTCCAGCACAGCAAGACCTTTGGAGGGCAGCAGTTTGATGCAGCTTTTCATTACTGGCCCTATTTGTCAGACATTTCAGCCACCCATCCGGGAACAAGCAAGCCACCTTGCAGCTCTGCTCATCCACTCTCCAGCTTGTGGGCCAAGCAACTAACTTGGGGAGCTCTTGGCCACAAAGACCCTGCCCAGTGTCCTTGGTGATGGGTTGCAAATGAAACCAGGTGGCACCTGAAGTTGTCCCTACAGTATCTTCTGGTTTGGGCATGGGGGGACAAGGCCAGAGCAGGAAAAGTTAGATCTGATGAGGACCCACAGCTGCTGCCCTGTATAGCCTGTATATGTGTCTGTATAGTGCCCTGCTTGGCCTCCCAGCCCTGTGTTTCGAGGGGCTATTGATCACCCTATTCACTGCCATGACTGAGGCTGCTTGTTTGGTTTCCAAGAATCTTCCTGACTGTTACAAATGGCCAAACCCCAACTACTTCCAGTGGAGACCTTCCCCGGGGAAACCACTCTGGGAAATCTGCTAGGGAAAGAGAGGAGAAACTACTGCCATTTTTGATGCAAAAAAATGTATTGTTATTCCAGGCAGTTCTGACAATAATTGAGGTCACCTGAGCCAAACATTTTAATGTCCGTCCCCATTAAGAATCATGCTTAACCCAGGTTTGAAGGACCAAAGTTTTCAGGGAAGATCTCACAGGACCTATGCATTGCGGAGCCGTAATGCAGAGGCAACCAGGAGAAAGTTCTTCTGCTTTTCATCTTACCAGGTCAAAAGAGGCAACACAAACATCTCCCCCACCTTCAAATGCTGGCAGATTCTGGACAGCAGCATGTTCAAGATAACCTCCTCTGCCAAGCCACGCTAAATGGCTTCAAGAGCAGCAAAACGCAGCATGAGGAGCCGGGCAGCACCCGGTGACACAGATCTAATCGCCCGAGCATTTGCCCCAGATGTCTCCCTGCCAGGCGGTGACATTTCTCTGCTGTCTCGGCTCTCTCACTCCATCACCATGGTTACAGCAGCTGCCAATCCACAGGCTAGTCCTTCCAGGGTACCACCAAACCCTCTGGGAGATGCTACAAGAGCCAGCCCCCTTGGCAGGGAGACACTTCAGGGACCCCGGGATAGCCCGTAGAACGAAAAATTCCCCTTTTTCTTCTTTCCCTCCTCCTTTTTATTTTTTCTTTCTCTTTTTTTTTTTCTTCTTCTTTTTTGAAGCACAAACAATGGAGCTAAAAGGTTGGGTATCAGGCCGATAATCATGAATGACGTGTCGTTATTACACACCACACATTCATTATCTCCCACTCCAGCCATGTCACAGGCGGCTGGAGGAGGGCAGATAACGGGGTGCCTTCATGCAGATGGCTTATTATCAGGATGTTCCAGGAGGGGCTTTAAGACAGTTAGTGATGCTGTTTGCCAGTTAAAGATTAGAGACCCCAGAGAATAATTAACAATCCCAAACCCCAGTTTTTCTGCTGGATTCTTCTGCTTTCTCCCCCCTCCCCCGTCCTTTTTAATCTATTCACTCTAGCAGGTGTAATAAAGTGATAAGGACAGGCTCCGGGGATGTTTGTTTGGCTACTATGGGTGTATAAACCAACAATGGATGGTATTTTACTTCTGGCTTTCAGTGGCTTGAATCAAGACCAAAAACTTTGCAGCCCCCTTGCCCACACGCAGCCACCCCTACACACCATGGTCCCGGCTCCCACCTGGGTGGCTGGGCTCCTTCCCCACCATGAAGGACCGCAACAGTGGGACAGGCTCCCTTTTTGCTTCTGGAGGTCCAAATCACATCGCTTGGGTGTCAAGACATCCAATGCCAGGACATAAACTCCAGGATACATTGCCTGGGACCAGAGATGGAGCTGGTGGTCCTTCCAGCAGCGGTTTACTGGCATACAGCAAGTTTAATTAAACCACTTTGGAATAATTTATATGGTAGGTGTCCACCTGCCCAAGCTGCTCCAGGGTTGTTGTCACAGCTGGAACAGAAACATCTGAAACCTCCATGGCTAAAGAGCCTCAGGAGAGATCGGGGAAGCATCAGAGTAAAGGTAGCTTTCAACAAGATGCCCCATTATCTGGGGGTCCAAGCGATGAGCTGCACCCTCCTAGACCACAAAGGAAAGCTGTGATACATCTTGTAACAAGCTGGTAATGCAAAAAGACTACCATGAATATCTTCTGTCCAAAAGGAGACTATCCTGTCCACAGCAGGTCCCAACCATGAACGTCTTCCTGAAGCCCAGACTTTAGAGATACTATCATCACGGAGTGAGAGGTAGGATGGGGTACCCACAGGTGTCCTTCCCCTTCATCAGTGGGCATGGGTGACTTGCAGAGGACATGGTCACCCCCACCGTGCTGTGTAGAGAGAGGTGCTGGGCAGGATTTGGCCCCCAGGCAAGTTGGCTCAGGGCCCTTCAGAGAGGTCACCAAGGCTGTTGAAGGTGCCCATCACCTGGGGGCTATCAGGTACAGCCCTGGCTCTGGAGGGCATCCCCCAGGTCACTGGGTCAACATGGCAGCATGAGCGCCTAGAGGCCAGAAGTTGCCTTCCCGATCACGCTCATCCTTCTGGGTAGGGATGAGACAGCATTGTGCTTTAAAGAGCATCCCCAACCCTATCAGCAAGAGATGAGATATCCTAATTATGGCAGTACAGGCGAGGATCCAGGCTGTATCAGTCAGCACAGAAAGGTAAACAAGAAATATAACAATGGACCCTTAACACTCATTAGCTGTGTCAGATAATACCTCACTTTTCTCCCTTTGGGGCTTAAAATCTAATTAAGATTTTCCAACAATAAATTTCATTTATGCTCACTCCCTTTTGTTCTTTTTAGGATTGTACTGAGAAGCAGCCATGAGCTGGCTGCACAGCTCATGGGAAGGCAGCCTGCTTCACACAGACAGCCCCAGGTAATGCTTGATGGACAAGGGAAACTGAGGCAGGATGGCATCACAGACTGTGTGGAGGTGAGAGCCCACTAGGAAGGTAACACAGTGGCTTTTGCAAAAGATGTTTTCCCAAGGAAAGTGAACTCTGAAGGGCCACTGGCTGGTATAAAACCAAGCATTGAGGTTCCTGGGCTAGCCCAAAACGTGCAGCGGTAAAGCCTCATGTATGACCACGGGAGGGACCCACGGGGAAAGGGACCCACAGAGCCCCCAACACACCCCCAATCCAAACCCACATCCAGCACTGCAGGGCGAACAGCTCAGGCATTTGTCACATATTCAGGGTGTGCACAGGGCAGGGAATAAACTCCTGCTGTTACTTATTATAAGGATGCCATTTCTAACTCCTCTTGCAACCAAGAGGTAAAAATTAATGGGTTCCCCTCCTTTCGCCACACCCCCAGCCTGAGTGCTGACATGGCAGGAACGTGCAATGACTAATCCTCCTTAAACCCTGCTGAGCGAAGCATTACTGCTGAACTCCGGGGAGTTTGTTTCTTTCCAAACCCGCGTGACGTTTGGCACCAGCAAGAGAAAAGTCTGGGGAGCAGCATCCATCAGGGGCAGGAGCTGGGAGATCCAGGACCCAGCCTGGGGCTGGCTCAGCCTCCAGCTGCCCAAGAGAAAGTGGTAGGAGGGAACAGCTCTGTCGTAATGCTGGGGATGACAGCCGTGGTGCCTCTGCACCCGAAAGCTTGACCCCTCCAACCCTTCTGCCTGTTTTCTTCTGCCCCATGCAATTTCTCAACTGGATCTGTGATTTCTTAATGCTGAGTCTTGAGGGCATTTTTTAAATGCTTGCCGACCTGAGGGTCTTTGGGGAGATGCCTTTCAGGGTGGGTCTGTTATTGGAAGACTCCTGTTTTACTCTTGAGCCTGAATTTTTGGGACACCACCCACTAGGGACATTGACAGCTTCACCTGTGTGAAGCATGACAGCAGCTCGCAGCAGCACCAGGGTCCAGCTCCAGCCCCCAGTTCAATCCTGGAGGGTTTCTGGCAGTGGGAAGTGGGCTGTTTCGGGCTGAGCTCCCCATCAGGACTGTTGCAGCTTTGTTTCGGGGAATATCCAGCAGGTTTTGGTGGTTAAGGAAAACAGGGTGTTTTGCAAGCCCCCGCCTGGGGAAGAAGCCTGCACAGCACCTCCTCCAGGAAAAGCTCAGGGCTTTTAAGGTCACTGGCAGGTGCAGAGGAGCAGGGGACAGCCCATTCAAGGTTGAAACATGCAGAGCAGAACCGCTGTTAGTGAGAGGCAAAGAGGTACCTCCAGCCCCAACACCCCAGCTGCCTGTTTCTGGCATTGTTGCCTGCAAACAGGCCTCCAAAGCACCTCCTGAGCAGAGGCCAGGCCTCCCCCCAGACCCAAACCCACCACAGCTGCTGTTTCACAGCAGGCCTAAAACGTGCCCTTATCCCAGTGCTCAGCATCCAACAGCAGAAAGCAAGAGCAAGAGATGGCTCTGATATTCTTCTGCCATGTCCTCCTGCCACCGCATCCCCCTTGTGTTTGCACAGCCCTGAGCACAGGACAGCCCCCAAACCATCCTGCTCCCCCCAAACCCAGGGGCTGCCAAAAATGCCCTTCTTATAACCCTCCATGCCATGCCATGCCATGCCATGCCATGCCATGCCATTCCATCCCATCCCTCCCAGCCCGGCTCCACCTGCAGCCCCGGGCTCCCCTTGATTGCAGAGCCCCTTAACCCTTTCCTTGCTGGTCAAGGGGAGGACCCTGCACACTTCTTAAGCAACTGATATCCCAGGGAAGGACACAGTGTTACAGGTCTCTCATTTCAATCTGCAAACATCCAGTTTAGGAGCACTCATTGCTCCTATAGTGGCCCGGGCAATTCCCCACAGCTGTCCCCACCAGAGTGACAAACAGACCCTGGTTAATGAACAGCCTGTCAGGAGCCGGTTGCACCATGGCCGGACACCCTGGGGGAGAGTCAGCACAGCCTGGAGCAGCCCCTGAGCCACATCCCAGCAACACTGGGAAGCAATTGCCACTCCCAGCCTCTGGCCATGGAATGGCCCCCAGTTGGCTGTGGGCCTTTGCCCTGTGGCCAGTGGGATTCAGGGAGTGCTGCATTTCACCTGTCAAGCAGCACTGACTGAGAAGTGCTGTGTTGGTGCCGTACCTCAGTTTCCCCCTCTGGGTAATGGAGGGGAATGATGCTCACCTCCCCACACAGCCCTTTGCACCTCTGGGGCAGTCCAAATGATGAGCAAAAAAAATTCTCCACCTTTTTCTTTCCCCTGTTGACACACAGACACACACAAAAGTGCTCTTGGCTTCATCCAAGAGCGGAAATAAGAGATGGATCCTACCCAGGAGGGATCACGTGGGAGATGGGGATGCTGACCCTTGTCTAAGCACCCTTCCCACCCCAGCACCACCTTCCCCAGTGTCCTTCCCTGCCCGAAGGCTGGGAGCGCTGTGAGATGCCAGAAAGTCCTTTGGGTAATTAGCAAAATGACTCTCTCTGCTGTTGTATGGGCAACAATTCTCTTTATTGCTCATAGGGAAGATATATACAGGGGAGAAGGTTTGTTCTGACATTAAAATGCATGGTGTCATAAAAAGGAGGGTGAAACGTGGAGAAGAGAGCGGGTTTTCCATCAGCAGCTCCTTGGAGGGTGGCGGGGGGTGCAGGGAGGTCCCAGACACCCAGCAGTGACCCCTCCATGTCTGGAGCAGGCCAGCACCCCCCTGGGACTGGGGACATCAACCTCGCTGACCAGGTGGGGTGACTGCCAGGCAGGAGAGGTGGCACCTCTGGACCTCTTCTGGGGACCGATGCCTGCATAGACAGCAGCCCCTGAGGCAGAAAAGTATGTCCCACACGTGGGAAGGGAAATATCAAGAGACGGTGGTGCCATGGAGAGGTCGGGGAGCCGCCACACATGGAGGATGCCAGTGCAGAGGGTCTCTGCAAAAATGCCCATTGCAACAGTGGGAAGCAAAGTGAGAGGAGGAAGGAGGGCAGCCGACCTGGGTGCTTGCTACATGGAGGTGGTGATCACCCTCTCCTCGGGCTCCAGGGTGTTCTCATAGGCGTGAGGGCTCTCTTTGGACCTGCGTCAGAAGGGAGAAGCACAGTGCTGAACTCACCCCCAGCAAGACCAGCCTCCCCAAAGCCACCACCAGGGCCCTGACCTTGCTGGTGTTGACTGTACACTGAGCAAGGGGTGAGGTGAGGAGGGCAGGAAGGGTTCCCCTGCCAGGAGGAGAGCCAAGCTCAGGGTGGGAATTGCTCTAATTTCTAGCGAGAGCTGTTTTGACAGTCAACATCTGCATGGTGACCTATGGTCACTTTTGGTGGTTTCCTCTGTTTGAAAGATGTGATGTAAGCGTAAGAAAAATGTGGTGTAGCAGGTTGCAAGGTGGACCATGAGGCTCAGCTGCAGGGATGGGGAGAGACGAGGGAGAAGGGGATACTCCCTCACCACCTTCCTTCTCCTTAGCCCCTGGACAGCATAAAAGTACCAAAACCAGGTGCATGGGACAGGTGAGACCACGAGTGGGAGAGACCACAGCTCTGAATGTCTGAGCTGTTCCCAGGGGGATGGAGCAGAGCCTGGAAGCTGTGGGTAGGAGTTCTGAGCAAATCCTTCACCTGAAGTTGGCTGCAGAGCTTAGGTTTTTCCCTTCGTGGCCATTGGACGTGACAGCCTCCTGCCTGTCCTCGACACTCACCACCGTCTCGACATTATCCCTGGAGGGGGAGAAGAGGGGAGCTGAGAGAGAGCAATGGAGGGGCCATGCCAGGGAGCAGTTTGCGACAGTGCAGAGGAAGGGACTGCTCCAAAACCACAGAGACGATAAGGGACCTGGCTGTGTGATCCTGGCCTCAGACACCCAGCTCAGCCCCCTTCCCAGACATGGGCAAGGAGAGACCCCCTCGCAGCAGGTTTGCAGGGGCTGTGCCCAGACACCGAGTGCCAACCCCTGGCTCTGGAGCTGGTACTCCTAGTGCCGGGCTGGCAGTCAGCAAGACTCGTTTGTCAATACGTGGGATTGTTTTCTCCTGCTAACTGGTTTTTCCAGTCGTCTTCTATGTAATCTGTTGCAAAATAGTCCCCTACACGTCCCAAATGACACAGAGAGAAATGCCAAGGCTTTGCCAGTGCCACAGCCCTGGTGCAGGAGGGGCGCACGCATGCACATCCACGTGTGCAAAGCCGAGCTGCTTTCTCTCAGAGCCTGGATCACTCACAGAAGGAACCACAGGGCAGGAACTGGGTGTTCAACCTCAGCCAGAGCCTAAAAGCGTGGCTCTGCAGTAAGCCCGTGGCCTGAATGGTGCCGGGGGCGTTTAGCTGTGGAGGGTGAGTGCAGGTCCACCCTGAGCACACATCCCTGCCTCCTCCAGTGCTCGCCCAAGGCAATTTCAGAGGTTTTTCCGAGGAACAGACTGGCATAAACAGGCAGAGGCTTGAGCTGATAGCTGCTGTCACAGTGACAGTGCGGAGCTGGCAGCGCGCCAGGCTGTCGAGCCTCACTGATGGCTCTTCTGAAGAGAGGCCAGATTAATTAAAACAAGTCGCCATCCCCCCTCAAGCCCTCCTCATCATCCTCTGCCTCCAGGCTGGGAAAAGGCAGCCAGGCACGGGCAGAGGTGGGAAACACCATCCCTGCCTCCCACTCCACGGGCTGGGGGCTCCTGCAGTTTGAAGACAAAGGTTCCTTTTTGGGAAACAAAAACTGTACTTTCAAATCAGACCATATAAATATATATATATATATATATATGCACCTTGCATTATGCATTGGCCCTGCATGCATTCCAAAGGGCCCCCTTTAAATGCATCTGGGGCAGAAGCCAACCTGCTGAGCATCGGGGTACACCCCGAGTCTCCACCTCCTCAGCCTGCAGAGGCTGCAGGGATGCACAGATACAAGAAGACTCCTTGGGTACAAAGCCCGAAGCGCCCATGCTGGCGCAGAGGAACCAGGAACCAGACTATAGCGTACTTTCGATCTTCATCCCCTGTTGACTCTGGGCTCAAATTCAAGATCAAGTTACTGCAACTTAGCCAGTTAGCCTGGGTCAGCTGAGCAGGAGCAGCAGCCTGTGGCTTTGCTCGGCCAGCAGCGGGCAAGGGGTAACTGGCTCCAGAGAGCCTTTTTCTGATGAATAAGGCCACCTTGTTTGCCTGTGCCGTGGGCTCTGGGTGGAGAGCACTGCCACAGCTTGGCTATCTCCCTCTTCTCCAGGATCCTTACAGTGCCTTCTGCCAACTTGGCCCAGTCTGCTTTGCAAATGAAGCTGTTTTGGGCTTGTTTTCCCACAGATATAAGGCACCTGGGAACTGTACCCCAAATCCGTAGGAAACCGGGCTCAGGCCAGCCCCCTGAGATGTGTGCCCATGTAAACCAGCCACGATGCTGTGGCTCTCCCGTCTTTCTTGCAGTAGCACCTGAGTGCTCTGCTTAGGGGTTCCCCTGTGCAGGGAGCAGCGGGGATGGATGGTATACACTCACACCTGGCAATAAGTAACAGGGAGCGGAGACCAGGACACCAAGAAGAGGACAGGGAGACCAGGACAGGGAGTCTTTGTTCTCCCTGCCTGGCAGCGATCATGGTGTTCCCAGCCCTGGCACAGGGACGGAGGCAGCTAGAAGTGACCTGTGCAGAGGCAGCTAAGCCCAACTCAAAGCAGCCCCTGAGACTCCCACACTTACACTTTCTCGTTACACCACAACTTATTGACCATGAAAGCAATGGCCACCAGGACCAGAAACACAACCACTGCGATGACACCCTGTGACCATGGCTGGAGGTTGCCCCGGGCTGCAGAAGAAAAGGAGGATACATGTTAGAAATACATCCTCAGGCTTTATCCGCTTGGCTGAGCTTCTCCCATCCAGCTTCACCAATGTCCAGCCAAGAGCTCGGTCCTGCAAAGCTGAGCAGAGCATGTTGCTGTTAATCCAGGCAGGTTTGCCTGGGTGATAGCAATGAAATAAAGTGCAAACAACAGCAGTTTCGCTGGCATTTACATGTGGAGCATGGTGCCTTGCAGCCTTGGGGCCCCATATATGTGTATGCAGTGGGGTGCAGATGACTCTGGGATGGGGGGACAAAGGGCTGGGGGACATGGAGGGAGGATGTTTGCCTGAAGTGTCAGGGGAAAGAAGGCAGAGAGGTTTCAGCAAACTGTTTATTCTCCAGCCCCAGATGGCACAGACATTATTCCTGGGTTATTTTCCAAACACTGCCCACTAAAATAAGGACCCTGTGACCAGGATTATGTAAAATTCTGTTGTCACTCTCACAGAAAAGAGTTGCCAGTGTGGATGTCGGTAAAATGCACTATGCAACAAGTTTCCAGAGCAGCAAACTGATTTATGATGGGGAAATTGAAGGCTGAAGCATTCAGACCAACATCCTCCAGCACAAAGGCCAGGCAGGGCTGGCAGGGGATGTCAGGAGGTGACCAGGAGCTTGCCATGGCATCCCCAGCTCCCCCGGGATGGGATGGACTCACAGGTTCATTTTTCTCTAGCCAGAGCTAAGCAGTGATATAGCCACAGGAGGGAAGGCTGTGAGACATATTCCTGGAAACATGAGGAACTAAAGGGCAGGGCGATGAGAAGAGGAAACCTTGTCCCAGTCCTTGCTGGGACAGCTGTTCCTCGCCTCCCACTGGCTTTTGGGCAACGGAGCACTCATAGTCAAAGTCATCCTTAATTGTTGTCACACCAGCACCGAAAGGACACCTTGTCCACACAGACACATCCCTTTGGATTTAATTACTATTTATT